TGTTTTGTAGAGAAAGATTAAACCTGAAGTCTGAAAAATTAATAGTTCGAAGTTCGAAAGATTAATAAAAATTTCATATATCCGACAGTAGAGAGAATAAGCTGAACTTTTAATAACTTTAGCTGATCTACTGTTCTGTCTGTTCATGCAACTCGAAAAGGTTTATTTTCAGCTTCAACATGTGACACTACATCTCGAAACATCATCTATCAGTGGATCAATCAACGTTATTGAAAGTTAAGCATACTTTCTCATACAATGTAAATAAGATTTTTATTGGTCTATCTGGTTTCCTCCACCATTTGTATTGAAAATACGATCAGGATTTTTTTTTGATATTCATATTCTTGGTCAACTTTAATTATTTAGACATTATAACAATATTTTTGTTTCTTCCGAAAAATGTAAGATGTAAAGGTGGATGTGAGTGTTATGTATGCTACGAGAACAACCATACCCACACCTACACCCAAGTTACGAATCAATAAAATGGCAGTGTTGACTCAAACATAGTTCAACTATTTTGTCTCCTTTGTATGATTGACAGTAGAAGAACTATATAAGTCTTAATCATTTAATATTGAGAACTGATTTTTGAGTTAAACCTTTTTTTTTTATTAATGGTTGATTCTTTTTTCCCTTTTAGAATAACGATCATTGTTATCAATAGTCTCTCATAAGTAAAACTCGAACTAGAAAAAAATAATCCTTTTTGTAGTAAAAAAAATTTTAAAATTAGATATATCTCAAACACTTGACTTTATTTTAAAAGAAACATAATTTCCTTATTAACAAACATTCATTATCTATAAGATGATATTTTAAAATGGTTAACTTCATTTGTGTACTCTAATGAGTACTCAGATGAATTTTCACTTTCGCGATTTACTCATAGACGAAGCTATATCTCTATTTAATTTGGAACACGTGTTTAATTTCTCCAAACAATATTTAGAAAAACATTAATGCATTAAAAAGTATTAAAATAGAGTGAAACTAAAGAAAAAAGGAAAATCATGTCATACAATGAAAGAATTTTAAATAGTTAATTTAATGACTCATTTCCTTTATCTTCTTTTCTTTTCTTTTCTAATGAGTTGTATGTACAGTTTTTTAACAAAAGAAAATTTTTTTTCTGATTTGTAACCGTACACTACCTTGGTGAAATTGAATTTTTTAAAACTTATTCATGAAAACTGCTTCTAATTTCATTCTCTAAATTTAGATAAAAGATTCCCAATTAAAATGCAATTTTTCAGATTGACAGTGAAATGTAACGTAACAAAAATAAGTAAATATAGTTTGTATTGATTTTTTTTTGTTATAGATTACTAGGTGACCGCGTATACTGATGAATTCAACATGTTGATTTGATTTTTGTGTACAGTAGATAAAGTTCAACGTTTCTTTTGCTATGATATTTTTTGACTTAACTCTATAATTCATTATTTATTTTTCTTTACCTGAATTTCAATCTTCAATTCATGTTTTACAATGGTCTTACTTTATGAAAAAAAGGAGATAAGAACATATCATCGTTCTTAATTTTTCAATACCACAAATATTATTTTGTTTTATTTTTCTTTTGAAAAGATCAAAGAAAAGAATAAAGTTTGAAAACTATAATAAAAATCTATTTTTGACAATATATGCTATGAATAAGATATTGTAAGATTATCATGTTCGGTAATTACATTTCATTAGTACGTAGTCACAGAGCTGTAAAATATTTTCTCCGTGGAATATTCCATCATAGATAGACTTTTCTTGTTCTCTCATGAAAAAGTAAAGTTGTATTTTTTTCAATTTAAAAATATCAAAAAATATTTAACTTCCTTCGCCACTAATGAAACTTGTAATTCTCATATTGATTATTTTGTATTTCAGTAACACAGAAACAATGCATCAATACAAAACAGATTATATGCTTATGAGTACAAAATAGTTATAGCCTGATTTCCATACATTTATATTCATTTGAAAAAGAATTTAGTTTATTTTTTGGTTAACGACAGACTTCTGACTTTTTTTTCATTTTCTCGCTTTATCTTGATGTTACATCTTTCATCTGTATTTCATACAGAATAATGTTCGATGAAAAGAAATAGTTGGAAATTCTAGTTTGGTGATAAATCTTTGTTTTTTTGTAATCAACTAAAATTTGAATTTAACTTTCATTATCTAGAAAATGGCACACAAAGTTTCTTATTTAAGAACATATATCTGTTGACTAGTATTTTTGATCACGTCGCCTCTCTGTTTTTTTGATAAATTGATCACATCTATAGATATACATCGATAGAATTAGTGAGATTTTTTTCGTTTTGTTGACTATTTAGTAAGATGAAAGATATACGCATGTAGTCTTTTGTCTTGTCATTTTTATCGATAAGTTGATCGGAAGAAAGTAGGAAAAAAATCTGGCACAAAAAAAATCTGAACTTGTTCAATAAAAATTGAATAATCTTCAAAAAGACGAGTTATATGGATGAGAGACAATATCATTGATGTATTGTAACCAAATGATGTTCTAAAACAATCTTCGACTATTTATTTGGCTTTTGTGGTTCATGAAGAGTAATGAAAAGATTGCTTTTGACATGTATTCACTCTTTTCGAGTGAAATCAGATCTCTGACAAAGAACTTAACTATTGATTTGAAAGTAAATTTTAGCGAAAAATAATCTTTTATTCTATTGAAAACGGTATCATAGAAGACTAGCATTGCCTAATTTTTTATAGAGATTAGATCAAATTCGCTCTAGAAAAGTACAGCAAGTTTATAATATGTAACATTTCATCATAAGACTAGACTGGGTGTGGGTGTGTGAGGTGTGGATATGGGTGTGGCTTTGAGTAGACAACCAGTCCACACCAACATCCACACCCACACACACCCGACACTCACCCACACTCCCATCCCCACACCCGCACCCACATCCACACCCTAAATCGAAGGAACAGATATATACGGAAATTTCGATGTGTACATTTGAAAGATGAAATGAAGGGCAGCGTTATTTAGAAATATGTTCACATACTTCAGCGAAAATCTCATAATGATATATGTCGACATATCTTATTTACAATTATCGTTGAAAATTCGATCAGCCTATAGAAAGTAATATTATGAGTAGTGAACCAATTTGAATCGAACAATAACGTCTTAATTATCACTTTATTGGGCATAAAACGAGATATGAATGAAAATTCACGTAAACCCAGGACGGCAGATTCGACTGGCGGATCCCGTTAGATCCTATCGGAAAAATTATCGAGTTTTATTGGATCCGATAGTAATCTGTCGGAAGTTGTTGGAATCTTTGGTATTGGATTCCGATAACTTCCGACTGGATCCTGTCGGAATTTTTGGAATCCAACAGGATCCTATTGGGCAGCTTCGCCCTGGGAATCAAATGCTCCTAACTATTCTTGATATAAATAAGAATTGTATTAGCAAGTTTTACTTTAAATAAATTTTGTAAAATCTTTCAATCGATAATGAATTTAATATATAAAACTATCACATTTTATTTTTCTTAATGGTGTCTATAATAAAAAATAAATGAAGTACCTGAAATAAGACTCCCTTTAAACACATAATCTCGTTACAATAAATCCACGATATTATCTACCCTACACATATCTCCTATTTTTGATGATTACACAATTTTTATCGGCCACACTACGTTCAGAGGAAAATGTTTTAAAAATCCCATGGATTTACTCTAATTTATTTTCTCTTTATGCTTTTTGCATTCTACCTTGCATTGTAGTGTAGCCATGATAAATACACTTAATATTAAGGTGTAGGTGTGATTCTCTTCTTAACGCATCATCCATACACCTACTCTTGTGATGTGTTCTTTCAAATAAAATCACTCTCAGGCTAATGCATGGTACTCATTCGATTCACTTGCTTTATCAGCATAGTCATTTATTCTGAATAGTATCTATAGAAAAAAATGACTGTTATTACTTTTATCGTTCTTTAGAAAATGGTAATTTACTGACAACTATAGATCTACAAAATACTCCAAATTTAGTCGAGTACCTAATTATTACTTGCAATGCTTGTATCTCCAGAATCATTGATCTATTCAAACTGATTCATTCAGCTTCTTTCTAACTTAGATGTATTTATCTGCTGGAAGAATAGCGATGCAATCTGTGAGATCAAGTGAACAAGATTCTACTAGAAGTGGTCTTAATTTACGTGCAATGTCTCGTGGGGAATTCAAGAATAGCAGGGAACTCAAGTATAAAAAACCATGGTTTCTAAACTTCTGATATCGGTGTAGTTTCCAAAATGATCTTCGAAACTTTTTAAGTGCTACAGGTCATAATATTTCAGAAGACTCATAAGAATTTACAAAAAGAGTCTCTCGTTTTCGACAGTCGGAAATCTTTCAGTTTTAGACAATGTTACTAGCTGAAAAGTTTTAAGCACATTGTAAAGTTGTCTATACACAGTTCCGACTTGATAAAAATCTGTACAAGTTTTGCAAGATGGTTACAGTGACCCTATTTTCTGAGTTTGCCAAAATACGAAAAATTTTTACAGTGAAAAGGCTCATGGAACTCAAGCAGCTCAATGAAGTAATGACATTCAAAGAGCTTGAGAATCGACGGGCAAGAATGAGTATATCTGTGAAAGATTAAGAGTGATGATCAAGAGAATTATCTTAGCCCTCATCCAGGTGTCATCGAATTCTTAAAAATAAAGAGTTCGAGAAGTCCGACATGATAAAATTGTTAGATGTGAAATGATCCAGAACGATCTCTTCTGATAAAATCCATGTCTCATTTGACTAAGTTTTGACGAAAGGCATGGTTTCTAGAACAGTTCGATGCCGAATCCACAAGTTGGACTCAGTCACTTGAGGGCGTTAAAAACAATTATTATTTTGTATTTATCGAAATTTCGTTATTAGAATTTTCTCTTTATCGATTAAATACTTTAATACAAATATCTAATTTCTTTCTTTATCATACATATACTAGTCAATATTCAGACTTTTTTTGATTATTTTACATATATGCATCATACAAATTGTTATTTTCTTGAGAAAAAGTATTAAAAATAACTTACCCAATGTAGTTTTAGCTAATGGTTTTGGTGCTGCCAAGTGCATATCGTTCATAGCTGATGCTAATGGTTGATCATCGTTGTCATCAATTTCAATTAAATGTACAAGATGTGAGCCATTCGATTGATCTAAAGGATCGCTCTTCACGCGAAATTGTGAACCCATGCGTAAAATAATTTCATCTTCTGTTTCGTACTCTGTATATCCAGAAATCTTTTTTCCATTAACAGCTTCGATCAGAAAAAGCGTTGAATTTTTGTTCTTGCCAAGAAAGTTTTTAATAACGTTGACTGATGACGAACACGAATTAACACTCCACCATGTCACAATTTGGTTTTTGGTGAAGTTCTTGTCGATATCAAGAGATACGCCTCTCCATACTGCTTCTTTGACAGTAGGTAACTTATCTAATGCTGTATCAAATAATTTTAAATATGGAAACCATATCTTTAATGCTTGTCGATTTTCAGATCGTAGTGCGTTATTTAATACGCGATATAAAGTAGTATCACCCCATTCCATTGTATAGATATACACAGCAGCTGATTGATCACGTGTTAGTCCATGTTCTGATGGAAAATGACAGTTGCGTTTAGCGATCTTTATGTAATAAGGTAGTTCATCAATTTGAGGCTCGATAGGCTCTAGTGCTTTTTCAATTGGAACAGGTTTTTCACTGCGATAACCATAAACAGGCGGAAGCCTTTTGAATGAAACATCGATATCACCAAAACGATTCATCACGTACAGTTTTTATTGCTGTTGAATTCTGATGAAAGTACGATTGTTACCAATCCGAAGTAACTGATAAAGATATTTTTTTTTCTATAGGACATCAAAAAAAAAATTTTATCAGTAATTTCTCTTGCTATACAATAATAAAAAAATGGATCATTTCTTTTTCTTTCGTAATACTCTGTTTGTAATACTGAGGGGAAGAGTATGAACACTCTCTGCAGAAAGATATTCATGCCTTGTTTTCTTAAAGCTTTGTCTTCAAGTCATTTATATAAAGCTCTTAACTACTCAAAACGCACTGTATCATTCTCAAAAGACGAATCAATGTAGGATCGCATTTTATGAGTCATAAAACAGATAAAATCACTGCGAAATCAACAATAATAATAAAGAACATCGTGTGGTTAAGTCATTAGAACAAGCAGAAAAAGAGTCATGTACAGTTTTCGAAGATGATTCGATTAATTCTAAAAGTAAACGAAAATTCTCGAGAACAAATTA